AACACAAGTCATCTTTCAGTGAAATAAGCTCTGAGAGGACACACAAACGACTGTGCCTCCCCTCATCCCCCCCCCCCCCCCCCTTTCTCTCCTCTCCCACAACCACAGTGTATTTAAAGCTTATTTGAGCGGGCAAGTTGAAGAGGAGCACATTGTTATTTCCAGCAGCAGCCTGGGGGAGTAGTTGCAGGAAGCGGCGGGGTTACACCTACATTGTGCACCAGCTCACTTCTCAAAGCTGCAGCTGTAGCTCCGGCAAAGCTTCTGAGGAACGCTCACCTCGAGCTTCATGCTAGTCCGCTAGTTTAACAGAGATCACCTTGCAGCTGAATAGACCAGGCCCGGTCCTAATCTCCTCATCTGCCACTGAACGAGGAACTTCATGTGATATATGAGAGCCTCGAGTTCCAAACTTTGCAGGTCCGTTAAATTCTGGAGGGCCTTTTCATGGCTCAGCAATTGCCCAGGGCCTAAACTGTGACTCTTAAACTTGATGTATTCCACCTCCCGCTCCACCTTTGTTCTCCGTCCTTCAAAAACACTCTGTTCCCTGCCCGTCCTATATTTATTTCTCCTTCCCTTTCTTATTTTCTCCATCTTTATCTCCCCCTCTCGGTCTCTCTCGCCCTAATTGCCACAGAACCTGTTGATGAAAATCCATAAGTGTATTTTTGATCGTGGGCCAGTGGGAGAAAGGGGAGATGTAGCTTACATTGGATTGAGTCCACTTAAGATTAGTGTTAGTTTTCCAACATTCACACTGATGCTGCTAAAAAATCATGTTTCCTTTATTTAAAAAAAAAGGCCCATTAGGTGTGTTTCCATGCACCTTCACGCTTAAACCTGAGGTTTGGCTCAGACAGAGAGGTTGGTGTATTAATAAAAACAAAATATGACAGAGTGCAAAAGAAAGAGTTCATGAATAAATCATGATGTGTAAATGAAGCATGAAACACAACTCTAGCTTGAAAAGAAGTAAAAATGCCTGCTACACACTAGAGGATTTTAAATACATGGAAGAAAGAAATAAAGAGAGATTTATTTTAATTGTGAAAGCTGGTACAGAAAAAAAGTCTTTTTTACCTCAGCCATGGAGGCTATGTTTTCTCCCCCTTACCTTTTTTTTCTTGGTTTGTTTGTCAGAAAGATTACACATAAACAATATGAAACTTGGTGGAAGGATGTGGGATAGGTCAGGGAAGAACCCATTAAGTTTTGATGAGGATCCAAGAACAATTTTTGAACAATTTCCTCTGTGATTCATGGATCTGGAGGGGGGAGCAATCAGGATCAAAGGACTGATTTCTATGAGTGGCTGAAGATTTTTGCAGTTTGATTGAGCCTAATGGGACTGTTGGGCCTTGGCGGAGGCAAGAACTGTGCCATTCTAGTTTACACTGTCATATTTAAGTTCCACACACGTGCACAGAGCAACATCCGGTTGGTTCCAGGGTAGCTCATTGTTTACTGCATATTCCTGCTCACTCTCCCTATTACTGTTGCTCTCATACCACACAAGTCGCATATATTATGTTTGATATTTATGATTTTGAGGTCTGTCCCACACTACAGGATCATTTGGCCAGACAATCTGTTCAGGTCACATCATTCTTGAATCGAGAACGACCCTGCAACATCCTGCAATTATTTCATGGCTTTGCCGGATGTTTATCTAAATCAACCAACTCCTATAAACCGTAGAAAACAGTGGAAACACATCTTTTTTTGCCATTTTTCTAGAAATACTTTGAACTACATGAAACTTGACAAGTGATTCAGGCGATCAAAACAAAAAAAACATCCCTCCGTCCTGAGGTGAATTCCTTAAAACACAGCAGCGGCGGGCGCCAGCCGGCAGGTAGCCCCGACACAAACACTGTTCGCAGGTGGGAGAGCAGATCGCTGATGGTTTGATGGCTCTTTTTTCCAGGTGACGCTCTGTCTAATGTCTGAGTGGTCGTCACCTGGGGGTCCCCCTCTCTTCACTGTGTGTGGGCCATTCACAAAGTAATAACCGCACCCCGCTGTGCCCATCATGCCTCGCTGCCAAGACCTCCTTGTGAAACACCTGGCACCATGGTAACCAACACCTGTTCACCTAATTAGAGGGACACTGGAGGGAGAGGAGATGAAGAAGTTAATGAAACGCTAATCTGGTCCAATCAAACGCCCAGGCATCTGCCTCCTCTGCGTGGCAGCAGGTCACTCTAATGGGCGCCTCCCCAGCCACGCCACCTTGAGTGACCTCAACAATGCCAAGGCTCCTCTAAGGGGCAGCATATAGAAGAGAGCGGACATGAGGAAGTGGGAGGGAAGGGAGAGGGAAGGGAGAGGGAAGTCAGCGTGCTGCTTCCTGGATGGAGTAGCTGGACGGCGAGGTGTCAGCTAAATGAACAAGCATTAAGAGATGAGGTTCCCTGTGCACAGCCGCTGGAGCAGCTCCAGGTTGCACCAGCTGCACTGCCCTTGTTTAGAAGCCGCCACCTGCTGCTGGAGAGGCCTGGTGCTCAGGTCGGATTTCTGCAGAGCATCCTCTGCTCCATATGAGCTCACGACCAGTGAAAACCATCCCCTGATATGAATTCCTCTGACTTTACCTGCACTGTCAATTAACGAAACTGCAAAGTGTCTTAACTGTTATGGGAGTTACTAAAAAGGGACTGAGCCGTAACCAATGTATCTTTTCCTTTTCAATTAATCTATCACTTATTTTCTTAAGTAATCAAATGATCAAATGATCAGCTGAATATGTGCAAACTCAGGTCTCAGGCCTGATTTGATTTGTCAGTAGAAACTAAAATAACGATTTACCCTGTGTTGATTGTTGTTCATTTAGGCTGGAGGTATTTGTTTTGTATCACAAGGGCAGGGTGTGTCCTTTTCACCTTTTGAACCTCATCAATTGTTTGGCGAGTGGTAGACAAAGATAGGAGTAAGGCTCTGATATTTTGTATCGACATAATATCTTGCTTTACCATTTCATTTTAAGTAAAGGGCACAAAATGTATTTAGACTCATGGATCTTTTTGAACGCATCACAGTAAAAAGGCTGCTGTTGTGTCTCTTTTTGATTGCTTCGCCTCTGTTTTGTTTGTTTGTTTGTTTGTCAGCAGCTCTTTCTCGAACATTGTGAGGTGTTTTTCAATTTCTCAGAGAATAATTCATGGATCTTGATGAAAAATCAAACATTTAGTGGACTGATATCTTTGAGTTTGAATTTGCGCAGCTCGACTGAATTCATATATGAGCTCTGAGTGACATTCTAGTGTTGCTTCTGGATTTGCTCACATTGCATCTATTTGTGGTGTTTTGCGTCTCTTCTAGGATCCATTTTCAGCTCCTTGTAGTCTTTTTGGATGAGTCAGTCGCCTCCAGCGGCTCAGGTCCATGGGCCCACACTGACCTCTATGGCCCGAGGTCCTGTGCCCATAGGAGATCCCTCTGCGGCTGAAATGATTTAATTTTTGCTTGACAAATTACTTCAATGATTAATCAAAAATCAAAATGACTTAATGATTAATTTTGTGTTGTTTGACTAAATCATTAATCCACTAATTATTTCAGCTCTAAAAAATACAAGTTTGCAGATCAGCAGTTTCTATTGTATTGTATGAACTCAGCTGAACTCTCTCTCTCTCTCTGTCTCTCCTTTCACCAACAGGAAACTTCAAGGGGATGTGTAAACAGATAGACCACTTTCCAGAGGAAACAGATTACGAAGCGGACCCGTCTGAGTACTTCTTACGTGAGTATCTTACGCACATTGGAAATCTTAAGCAGGCATTCAATTCTGTTGGTCCTTTGCTGTGTCTCATATTGGACATGACCACAAGGGGGGAATTCAATCTCTCCAGGACTCCCTTTGCTTGTCGTCTTGATTTTTGCTCAACATTTTTGAAATGTGTCCCACTTTTTGCGGTGTCCCAGACCAGAGTGCGATGCCAGTAACTGCTCTTGGCCCATGTGTCACTGCCCGGCCTTTTAGCGTGAGGCAGGCCCTAGCTGAGCGCTGCCAAGCAGCTCGTCTGTTTTTACTGCTTGGCTGTGTGTAACATAATGTGCAGTGTTACTGTCGGCTGTGTACCCTGTAAACACAGCCCATTGATTTCTGCTCTCTTTTCCTTTGTGCAAGCAAGACAGACACTTGTTGAACTCATTTGTCTGCTAATCCTAAAAATCACATCACAATGAGTCGGAGGCTCATGATGTACTGTTGTTAGCTCGATACGTTCCCCTGACTGACCACTTCATGTGTTCGAGCTGATTATTTGTGAATCTTCTGCAAAGAAGTTGTTGTTAATTGTTGTTGTTTTGTTGTTGTTTTTAATGTATGTGGTTGGGACAGTGTAGCCAAGTGATGCTTCTATGGTTACTGTCACAGTGTAGCAACAGATGCAATATAACAATGTTTTAAGGTCACTGCTCTGCTCCACTGTTGTGTTATAAAAACAGAAATAAACAGGATATAAACAAAGATATTCAGGCATCTCTTCACTAAAACTGAAAATACACTGCAGTAGTTAATCTGTGCCTGAGCCTGTGTTTAAAATGATTGTATTTCTTGTTGGGAAGTTAAACATAAACCTAAAGATGCAAAAAAAAATAAACTCTCTTAGGAGAGTCAGGGGCTTTGATTTGTCTGCGTTTATCACCTCATGATGTTTCCATGTTTAGAGGAACAAGACTTAAAATGTGGTGTATATTTCTGTTGTTCTGGAGTTACAATCTGTTAACACAGCCTTGATAAAGAAACTGTTTTAGAGAGAGTCACTGCATCAGACAATCATTGTGTCTTGGATTGTGTCCATACTGGAAACTGTAATATTACTTCTACAGGAGGTTTCATATCAGTTAGAGGAGCCGGACTGAAAACAACTTGTTGTATTTTTAGTTCCACAGTTTTCACACATGCACTGAAGTCTGTATATTTTCTTGAAGTTTTCTAGAGCGGCTATATGTGAGAACAAAATTGTCCAAGTCAGTTGCTGGGGACATTTTCCAGAACTTTTCCTGCTAGCCCTCTAGTAAAATATCTAATTCAAATTCATAGTGAGTGAGTGGGCGTGTTGATGATGTTTCCGACACGTGATGGATGTAAACCGGATGAATACAAATATCTCAGGATGAAAAAGAGGAGCCAACAATGTCAACTTTGAAAGACAAAGATAAGACAAGATAAGATGGATTTTGGTGATTAGGGACAACATTGGTGTTGATGTGCTGTAAATAAAAACCCCGTGCTCTCCACAACAGAATTTACATGTCACGTCCTGCCTCTCGGAGAGCCGAGTCGGGATTGCCAGTGCTGGAGATTAAGCCCCAGCCAATTGTGTTTGACTTAACACTCTTGAGTGGTTGTTTCCCGTCAATATGTGCCACAGAGAATGCTTATGATAACGGCTCTGGTAATGATTCCAGCCATACCAGAGCCTCGGTGAAGGCAGATCAGTCTTACAACCAGGTTTCTCCCCCGCTCTGGCCCTCAGACCACCGACGCCACATGTGTGCAAGTTGACCTCTTCCCATGCTGTGATTGGAGGAGAAGGCCGCAGTACTCCCAGTGGCTTGCCAATTAGGACACTCACATCCATAAATATTTCAGCCTCCTTCTTATGTGGGTCAGGCTCTCTCTGTCGCCGTTTCCGTCCCATTCTCTTCACCCTCACACCCGTAATGTCTCCTGTCAGGAGTTTTGCAACACCAAGTCTCTTGCTACAAAGACGGCCGTGATGATTCAAAGCATTAAGGTGCATGAAGAGGTCACAGGGGACACATGACATCTCAGTCAGTGTCTCCATACTAAACCCCAGTCATGTCATTTTAAACCTGCACACGCCTGTTTCATGGACACACACCTGGAATTTGCATAATAAGGCGTTTCACAGTGCCTGTGGGCAACAAGAGACAGAAAAGCTGCCTCTGTTCACACATGCAGGCGATTGAGATGGTGTTGGGGGGGGTTGTTATGCAATAGAAATTATGTCACTTCAGGTGAAGGCACAACGGAAGTGACATCAGAGGTGGGGGATGCTCGCCAGTCCAAAAATTGGAGGGGACACACCGGTGACGTCACCAGACAGCGTAGAGGGGAAGAGGAGGAGTATTGGGTGCCATGGTTGCCAAGCAGAAAACAGACAAATCTGACCATAAACATGCACCCCCGCTTCATCACACACACACATACACACACTGATCTGCTGTCCACATGCGCACACACCACATATCAGTAGCTTCACTGTGTGTGTTCCATGAGTCTGCAGCTCTCCCAATAGCAAAGCAGTTCGCACATCCACACAGGGTTATATAAGCCAGCTGAGGCACAGTAAAGCGCCAGTGGGTTTTTAGATCATGTCGTGTCGGAGCTCCCATCATCCACTGCTCCACTGGGCGCTAAGCAGCTGAGAGAGGAAAGCGGGGAAGAAGACGCCCAGTTACACAAGCTAATGTTACTAAACTGAAACACACCAATTCGCTGTAACGTAGAGAGGAGGGTCATATGAGGGGAGGAAGGAAGCGTGATTCATCCTGCTTTTAAATACAATATGTCAATCAGTCGATTAGCCTAAAGCTGAAAGTAACACTTAGTCAATTCATTGATGAATCTTTTTATCATTTTCTACATTAATCAGTATCTATTAAATGTCAGAAAAGGATGATAAATGTGCCTCAGGAGCTGGTGGAGACCAAAGAGAGAGGGATAAAAGTGTAAACTTTGGACTTTGATGCCTCATCATTTCTTCCAGAATAAATATATAAATTGTATAGAGTCTAAATATTTTCAGTTTAATTAAGGGAGAAACTTCACATTTGAGAAGATGGAACCAGAACATTTTGGGGGCATTTGTTTAAAAATGAATGATTGAAATTGCTTATTATTCTGTTGATTGACTAATTAAATAATGAAGGAATCAAATAAAAAATAATTGACGAGTATTTGAATGTTAAATGCTCAACTAGTTAATAATCACCATAGAATTAATCATTATTTTTCTTTTTTGTCATTTTCTCTCACTCTTGGCCACATAATGTTCTCCTGCTTCATGTTTGCTTGTTTTCACCTCAACAACTGCTTTGTTCTTCTCCCCCAGCACTGGAATCCCCCTGTCATGCAGTGCCCCAGTTTTCTACTATAGACTGAAACTATAAAGCATGCTCCATATCCTAAAGTTGATGTACAAACAATGTTTTGGGAGGAAATATTCAAGACATTTGTATTCAGTATGGTTTTGAATATGAAACACATTTAAACTACTGATGGCATTCTATAGTAAAACAGTTATAATCTATATTTCCATCTAGAGGGTCGCTCATAGTGATGAATCATAACTTGACTCTGCAGCTTCACATTTAAGCCTCTTTCAGCCAATTGTATGTATTGTATCTGTCCAGCTGATTATCTGTTTTCATGTACTTTCACTTATCTCGTAGCTCTATGTAGCTCTACATACTGGAAGACAAACATTGTTTAAATACCAGCTGGTGAATATAGTGAAGCTTTCAGCCACTAAAGAGTCTGATATTTCCACTAGTAGGTGGTGGGGACCAAAAACTAAGATAAAAGAGAGTGAATTTTAGACTTTGGATTCTTCACAGGGCACAAACATGATTCCAAATAAATTATAATGTTGCTGCGTGTAAATAAGCAGCTGTTTGCTAAGTTCAAAGATGTAAGTTAAATGAATAGTTCACTTGAAAATGTAAATTCACTCATTATCTACTCACCTCTATGCCGATGGAGGGGTAGGTGAAGTGTTTGATTCCACAAAACACTTTTGGATTTCAGGGGTAAACAGCGTCGCAGACAAATCCAATACAATTGAAGTAACTGGTGATCGATATAAAATCCGAAAATAAAAATGCCTCCATACTGCTCCTGTGGTGTCATCCAAGTGTCCGGAAGCCCCGACAATCAAATTTAACTTGAAACAGCATAATTTACACCATGTTTTGAGTGTTTCCACTTGAGGCTGCGTTCACACGCACACAGCGGAAACACCACACCCAAGGGCGTTACTTCCGATAGAGGACATTTGGGCTAAAAACGTGGGTGTAAATGATGCGGTTTCGAGTTGAATTTGAATGTCGGGTCTTCCGAACACTTTGATGACACCACAGGAGCAGTATGGAGGCATGTTATGTTTTGTTTCCTTCCCCCATACCCATCCATCAGCATAGTGGTGAGTAGATAATGAGTGATTTTTTAATTTTTCTGTGAACTATCCCTTTAATTAATATTTTCCGCTACCCCCAAGTGGCCAAAAAATTTAAAACGATACAGTATTTCCAGGGATTTATTCCAGGGCATTTAGTGCAATTTGTTTCTTGAGTTGCTTAGTCATACATTACCTTATTGAAAGACATAACCACATGCACGGCATACTCAGTATTAATGCCTAGTGTGTAATTAGGCCACAGCACTGGCTAAACTAATGTGGGCTGCAGGAAATTAGTTTCAGCATTTGAACATATCAGTGAAATATCATGCAAAAAAATTGAAATACTCTTTTACTACGAATTATGAGGTAATTTCACCCCCATCGTTTAATTTTTACATGAAGTTTCCTGGGTGTTTTCGCCCCGAGCCGGTGTTAATCCCTGACTCTGATGCTTGCTTGCATGCGTTGATCTGAGAGTATTCACTGACATTGGTGACAGAAGGGCAGGCCTGTCACAGCCTGTGTCACCCTGGGGCCTCGCGGCAGACTGGACGCTGGCCTGAACTGGCTTTGGTGTCGCCCGATAAAA